ATTATAAAGTTTAAAAAAAAAAAAAAAAGTTTTAACTCACACAAAATGTTCATAATAATAATAATAACAATGAAGAAATGTGGATTTCGAAATGTAATTTCCTGCAATAAAAAGTATCTGGATTCCATGCAAATCCAGGATGGAATCACCAAACCAAGAAGTAAAACTTTTGTTTATTCCATCAAAACTAATCTCTGAATATTGAATACATATCCAAACTTTCAATCTGGTCTCTTACGCTTAAAATCCATGTTGTTTCATAGTTATTTTATTAGTACTAAACTAATTTTAGTGTTAGAACTGTATTATTAATTATAACAAACTAATGAATGTCTTACAGAAAGTTTGACACTAAGGAACCCAAAATGGTTCTGTTAAAGTTCTTAACACTTTCATAATCATTAAAAGAAAGTGGTAAGTATAACTAAAGACAGAACTTTTCTATTACTGAGTAAAGACAATCTTAAATAAAAATTCAAAACTACTTCCTATAGTCATTCATTATCGTATCCTATGATCTTTGGGCTGAAAAAATATTCTTTTTAAAGTAAAAACTGATCACAAGCAACCAAAAAAGAATGAATGAATATTTCTACATTTTACTCTTACTACGTATCTATTTATCTAGTGTAGCAAAGATAATTCACCTTGTACAGCCCACCTACTCCCTCATAACGGTAAACCTTAGCTAAACCATCAACCATGCTCGAGTATCGTTTGTAAGAAGGAATATTCACGTCAACACCAGCACACTGGAGACACATCCTCGTCTTGACTACCCAGATGGGGTTAGTGATAATCAGAGTCAGGAATCCTACATGACCAGAAACATAAATCAAGCAATTTTCAGAATTAATTAACTCTTATAAATTAGTACAAAAATAAGCATTTGTGTCAGAATAAGCACAGTACTTTTGGTCTACTTTTAAACTAGTAGGACAGGAATGTGGCTTTACCTTCTATACATCTGTAAAGGCTAAAATAATTTTATTTTTCAGAACAACCTACATTACAACTACTACAAAGACAATCTTAAATACTTCTCTACTTAGCAAAGAAGAGATCTTCAGTTTCTGAACACAAGATATGAAAGAAATGTTACAGAAGATGAATGCAATTTATATAAATTACTTTTACATCAAGAAGTACTGGATACATATAAAATGTTTAGTACATTATATCAAAATGAGCAAGTTGCGTGACCACCACAGCTGATATAAAGTCATGATGGAACAGATTGTATCAGAACTACATTCTAATATTGCCATTATACAGGGAAGGGTATGTAACAGCCCTTTTAAATGCATAATATTCATACCCTTGCATCATAAATGTGTGTCCAGACTGGGGATATAGACTTTCAAAGATTGAGTATTGTACTTTAACCCTTTCGAGATGGGTCACGGGTGAAAGGCCATGTCATCTCACTTGTTGTCTCGCATTTAAAATTTTATTGAACTACTATTTCATGAATTTATGTCAATAAGTTTAGTATTAAACTGTAATTATAATTCAAATTTTAGTACTAAATATTACTCAATTTCTTAATTTAAATGCAAATATACACCTGGAAAAAAGTTAAGCACCCCCAAATATTTTTCAGGATTGCTTATTGAAAATAAGGTTTAATTTTCATGATGTTGAGCAATGTTCATAATTT